GTTGCTTGTTTTCACTGCACAACCAATAAAATAATGAGCTTTCTCAAATTGATCCAAACTTTACATATAAACTTTATCGCTTCACTTACAAATCATAATGTTTTGATATCCCATGATGCACATTATCCTGTTGATGATGACTCCCGGATGGACTACCATGATCCAACACACCAAAACTAAGCATATTCCGACTGGTCGTTGGTACATAACTTGTAAAATTTATATCTGGCCGGTACCCCCTATGGGATATATGGGTGTTAATACAAAGTCAATACATAAAAATAAACATCGTAACACAAAGGAAAATTGAGTTTACCACTCGGCTTGTGGATTATGTAAACTAAGGGAGAAATTATTTCCTCGCTCCTCATTCGCTCGTGGAGATAAGTTCGGATCAGGCCAAACTCTTTCACCCGGAACCTGTTCGGCTAAAACTTCTCCAAAATAACCACCCCGATGATTGAGGGATATCCCTACTTTGCAGAACCTCATTATTGCGAACGTCTTCAGCCTTGACGTACATTTCTAATATTTTTATTACAAGAAATTCCCGGTGTTCATTCGGAGTCCTCAAAAAATCTTTCAGAGTTTCATCGTCTTCGATGTTAAACTCAGCATAACAAGCAACCCCTTGCAGAGTAACAGAATATGGATATCTTCCGGTTACTTTAATATTCACCAAACGTTTGCTCACACTCATTTTTTTACATTACAACGGTACCAATGTATCGTACTCCATTATAAGTGGCAACTTAACATGACACTGTGGAGAACAACTATAGCGTACTAAGTTATTCTCCACCACAACCTCACCCCCCCCCCCCCAAATAAAATGAAACCCTAATTTTGCGCTCTTCGGACGTAATAACAAAATGCAAAATAACTTAACGAATAGATATTTCGAAAGACTTGAAGGATCCTGAATGAATTTTTACAAAATCCTGAAACACCTTAAATAAGGAAAAACCAGTTCGGGGGTACAATTTTTGATGTATAGCGCCTTAAATATGCGCGTTATACCCCTATGAATTATTGGTGTGTCAGTTAAGTCCAGAAGAATTATTGGTGAGCTCAACTTTTATATATAGCGCGGTTATTCACCGCGCTATATATATTTGGGAAAAGGTCCAAAATTGTCCTTCTACTATGGTATATAGTTTAAGTTTGTCCCCCGTTATACTTTTCATTCAGATCTACCCCATTGTTAACAAACTTTCTAGAATTGCCCTTAACCCTAACGTCCCTCCACCGTGGCACCCAATACCTCTATTAATTTGTCCACATCAGCTGCCATATCAACAGGTCCCACGTTAAAATTAACCCCATCATCACACATGCCTATTACATTCCTCTCATTGCCATTAACTTCAACAACGTTGTCAGTGACCAATTTGAGCAAAAGATCAAGCAATCGGAGGAACCCATTTCGTCTTCTTCAATTTTTCTTAGGACCATAACAATGGTGTTTCTAAGTTTCTTCAACAACTTGGTGGTATGATTAATTTATAAACTCAAATCAGCAACAACAAATAATTTTTACCCATAATTTCAATTTTGCTTCCACATATGGGTTTCGAAAATTCAAGCTCCAAAGCTTCGTCAATAGTGGTATAACTCATGTGTATTTCACTATCTCAAATCTGCCAGAGTTTATCGCCGGCGGATTGTTTTTACTAGTTGCTATTGCTAGTCGAGAATGGAGCCTTGCCGGCGACTACGGCTGGTCACTTATTATTGCTCTATTTTTTCTCTACCTTCTCTCTCTGTTTCTACTAACACCTAAAATAAGTTGAGTTGGTCAGTTGGTTTGCTGAAGGTTTCTCGTTCCTTTTCGATGACGCCTAACTTGAAAATAGTAACACGGCGAGCCTAGAGCAATAATGACCAAAACATAAGCACAAAGTCTCAGATCTTCAGATTCCAGCCTATTTTGCAACTATTACTTCGAGAAGAAGAACAGTAGAGAAGCGAGGGAGAGGAAAGGTGACTGCCAGCCGGCCGATGGCCAACTCCAGCGACAACAGTCGATTTTGAGAGGGAGATGGTGAGACGATGGGGATATGTGAGGCTAGCTGCTGAAGTCTCTCTCAAGAAGTAATGGGTACATGAGATTAGAGATGAGTAGCGTGAAGTGTCAGGACGGGAGGGGGTCGAGTGACTTGGCAGCTGACAAGGAAAAAATTCAGGGGGCCAGCTGCCACGGTAGAGGGATGTTAGGATTAAGGACAATTCTAGAAAGTTTGTTAACGGAGGGGTGGATCTGAACGAAAAGTATATCGGGGAGACAAACTTCAACTATATACCATAGTAGAGGGGCAATTGTGGACCTTTTTCCCTATATATTATGGTGCCCAGTCTTTTCCTTTTACCTTTTCCTTTTACCTATTATGGTCTCTTGAGACCAAACAAACCATTCCGGACTCAGCTTTTTTCTGATGGACGTCTTGCCTAAAATTTGCGATCCGAATTAGGAAACTCTGATTTCGTGTTACTCGTGAAAAGTTGAAACAGTATTGTGTGGTAGCTAGTCATTTTCGGAGCAGACTGGACAGGGAATTTAAACTCCCTTTCTCTTTAATTCCATCCAATTTATTATAGGGGTGGACCGGCCTAGCCATGTGATGCGGCGGCGCCGCGGAGGTGCACATGACACGTCGGCATTGCTCCGTCCTTCCCTACAAAAATAAAGGAAATTTGAGATGACGCCCCAATTTACTTATGAGAAAACAAAAAAGAAATTAACTATCTAATATTTGAAGTTATTGGTCTGATTAATTCGTATTTGCACTGCCACTGAATAGACTCAATAGAAAGCTATAGCATCCTTCACCAAAAAATTCTTTTAACTTGATAATAATTGCAGTTGAGACTTCGTTTGTTAAAATTCAGCTATGATTAAATATGAGATAAGCATCAAGCAAAAAGAGAATTGAAAGTAGGATGGACAAAAGTTCACATGCAAAACCAGATTCTGATTTGACTTGGTTTAATTACTTTTAGTATTTTTGCTTTGACGGATTTTGGCATTATGTTCCAAATTCAATTAACATTCAACGCAACATTAAAAATGAAAACATAAACGGAGAGAAGGTTGTGCATGTGCACTTTTACATGTGATACCATGAACTCTTGATCAGTTCGTGAGATTCCAGATAATTATTATATGAAATACGTGGAATATTAATTATTCTGATAATCGTGGAAGTCAAATTAAGTCTAATTTACAGCCAAAAAAAAAAAAAATTTGAAGGTGAGCTAGAAATAGAAAGGAGAAGAAATTGATAGAATGAGCGGTCCATGTCACAGTCACAGGTGGGGTTTATAAAGAAGAAAACGTGCCTCATAAATTGGCGGCAAATTGGCCGCAACTGGCGGATAGTTGATGGACAGGCGTACGTAGACCTTTTGGCTCTTGCTTCTCTACTTTTGTATTTCTCACCCATTTTCCTACTGTACTAAAAAACATAAAATGGTCATAAAGCCTCTGTACAACACCCAAAAAAAGGAGTAAGAGTCTGTTTGGATTAGTTGATTAAAAGTAGCTACCAAATGTTGAAAAATAATTTTAAGTGTTTAATTTAATTTATGAATAAGCTTTATGTATTTAGATAAAATTATTCAAGTTGAAAATAAGTACTGTAATTGATATGTTTGGCAAAATAGTGGTGAAAAATACTTTTTGTTAAACTAACTAAATGGCCTTAAAGTTATTTACAAAAAAAAAATATGAATTAAAAAGAATTGCATGAAAAATAATGAAAGACGAAAATAGAGCAGATATGAAATTATGAATTTTGTTTTGGAAGGTACTTTATCGAATAACAAAAGTTATTAGGGATAAAAGTAATTAAGTAATCAAAAGTTTGGTAAAACTAGAAGCACTTAGGGTTCGTTTGGCCATAAAAGACTTCATTTTTTTTTTTTGGAAATTTTTCACTTTTTTTTTCGGGGTCTTTACACAAATAACCAGTCATATTCACTATTTACCTTTTTTAGCCATATACATAGATTATACATTGATTATATACAACTATACACACATAATACACAAATTATTCATATACTATACCTCAACCGTTTTTTTTTTAGTTTAAGCGATTGGGTGGGAGGCTATTTGGGTTAATTCTTCATTTTTTTTCTAAATTAGTTTTTGGCCATAAAAATTTTAAATTTCACTTGAAGTTGAACTGAATTATCATTAGAGAGACCTATTTGTAATAATTTGAGTTTATTCATTCTGTCTTTCTTTATGAATTTTTATTATCTATGGATAAAATAAATACGATAATAACCAATAATTTTAGAAATTTTTTGAAAATTTGAAAAAGTTCAAAAAGTTTTTTTTAAAAGTTCACTTCAAATCACTCAGAAAAATTGAAAAAATAGCTCCAAATTGTGTTCATGTCTAAACACAACTACAATTTCAAATACCATTTTCGCTTGATTTTCTTTTTCATTCATTTCGGAATTTCACAATTCTTATGTCTAAACACCCACTTATTAGCTGATCAACTTCTCGCTTTGGTTGATTTTTGGCTTTTAAGTATCTTTGGTGTTTACTAAATGCATATATAAGTCAAAAGTGCTTATATACTACGGTTAAGGGCCTAAAATACACTTTTACTATTAAAAATAAGCTATATCTACCCTCCCCCCTCCCGCTGTTTCACTTTTGTGTTATTAAAGTCCCTGTCGTTTTACTTTGGTATTTAAAATGCCTCTCAGCCGTTAGTTTATTTATAGTATATTAATTAATACACGCGTCAACATCCTATTGGTCTAAAATCATTCGTCCCATATCTAATTAAAAACTATCCAACTCAACCCTTTTAACCCGACCCACCCAAGCCCCTCTAACTTAAATCCTCTTAGTCACCCCTCTCTACCCTAAATCGATCTGCAAAACTCTGAGAAGAAGCCATTTTAGGGTTCTTCCACAAAATAGGTTGGGTGCTTCAATTTCTCTCACTCTCGCCTTATCTATTTTTTGAAAACTTGATATGTCAGAAGTCAGTTGTTCATCGAAGAGGAAGTGTCATTGTGGAGAATTTGCTAAAAATTTTACTTCGATGATTCCTTTAAATCCTGGGAGGAGATTCTATAAGTGCCCTAAACCGGAAGTAAGTGATTATATATGGCTCTTGTTTGAATTTTTCTTGTTTCTGACTGATTTGTTTCGCTAATGTTCATAAGTAATTTTTTTTGGATTGTTTTTTAGGGTAGTTCATGTGGTTATTGGGAATGGGCAGAGGATCATGTCCCGGACAGAGCGCTCGTTGTAATCAATAATTTGAAGTGTGAGTTGGATGTGGCTAATCTTAAAATCAGTAATTTGAAGTCGTTGTTGGATGATGGCAAGACTGAAAGGGTCAAATTGAAGGAAAAAGTAGTTGCATTGAAGGCAGGAAATAATCTTCTAGTAACGAAAAAATTGGAGTTGGAAGATAGAATTCTCAAGATGAAGTTCTTCATTATGATTTCATGTGCGCTATTTGTAGGATTTATTGCTACTATTATCAAAAGTTGAAGCTGAATTGATAATGGACAGTGAAAGTTCTTTTCTTGTAGATGTGTTGTTTCTCATGAATATTTGCAGCTAAACATCGGATGATGTATTTTAAGCCTTAACTTTTTGTATCTTACTTTTTGTAACTTGTTTAAGTTATATATCGAATGATGTATCTTACTACTTAAATCTATTTGTTCCTACTTTTGATTATGGCTGGTTATAATTGGCAATTAAAGATTGCAATGTTATAAAGTTTGGCTCTTTGGCAGCTTAAGAAGTGATGCCTTAGGGATGAATGCAGCACCCTATATCAATCACTAAATAAAGGCAACCAGCTGAACATATGCTGAAGACAACCTAATATTCAATGTATTCAATGGTTGAACATATATCTCCTTATACCATAAATGCACATGGCATATTCAATGTATCAAACAGCTGAACATATGTTGAAGACAACCTAATAGACAACAGCATGTAAATCACTACACAAGGACTAAATCACCACACAACAGCATGTAAATAAAGGCTAAATTTCATAAATGCACATGGCATATTCAGTTTCATAAATGCACATGGCATAGGTGGATGCAATGTTATAACCCAAAAAACTTATACAACCTGGGTTATAATATGGCATCCCACATTAAGTTTCACCAACCAAAAACAGAAGGTAGATAGTACTGTCACAAAACATTAATTACAACCAAAATACTTTCCATCTAATTATATTACAGTAGATTTCACTTTTTCCCCCTTCTGGGCTTCAGCTTCTCCATTTTCTGTTTACTTTGCATTTTCAGTTGGCTTCCCGTTAATGCAGCTTTTCCCTTCCATCTGAGGCCTAGTGGTTTGAAAGGCAGATTTGATGGAACACTAACACCATCATGATCCCCTTTGAAAGTTATTGCCCTTGATTTTGAAGGTTGAGATGGATTCTGTCTTGCTTGAAGTCTTGTTCCTACTTCTGACACAGTTGTTGGCCTTAAAGCTGGATGTGGATCATGATCCGGAGAGTCAAAGTCCGGAATTCACTGTTGGACTGAGTGTAAATACTTGGTGTAGGCATAAACACAAAGTTTGAGCCTTCACTTTGTTAATTAGACTGAGTAGGCTGACTGGCTTCAGGTGCAGTCAGCTCTATTTCTTCTTCATCAACCAAAGTTGTGTTGTTTGTTCTTGCCATATTTTCCATGCATGGATATTGTGTAAACATAAAAAAAATAAGTTAAACACTACTAAATAAGACACTAATAAGTTACAAAAAGTAACCATTACCTTCTCACAACCTCTAGCGTTATGATTAGGCTCTCCACAATTACTGCATGCCATGACTCTCCCTTTCTTGGAAACTCCCCACTCACCTTGCCTTTTGATAACCTCGTCTTTTTCTCTTTGTCTCTTAATTTTAGGTCTCCCGGCCATCTTGACTAACTCAGGTGGTTCTATTGCTTGAGATGGGTCCACTTTCCAGAACTTCTCACCTTTCACTGGTTATAACTTGTGTTTATAGGTTAGCAGGTATGCTTCCTTGCTATACCACCAGTTGAATTCCTTGAAAGGGTCCATCTTCTTATGTTGTATGGATTTAATGGCATGGGGGCATGAAATTTCAGTAAGATCCCAAGTCCTACATGTGCATTTCTTCAAAGTCATGTTAACAGTATGCATGTCCATCCCTTCTGAAACTTCATAGCCTAGGTCACCGTTGGAATGAACATGACACTTGTTAGCTATCTTCAAGTACTCCTTGTACAATTCCAGGCTATGTGGGCTGAGTTCATTTGTCCATGACCTCACTGCCTCCTTTCTTTCCCTCAATTGGTTCATCACCTTAATTCTAATTTCTTCAAGCATTTTAATGATGGGTTTGTGCCTAGCTTCAAGAAATCATGCATTGACAGATTCAGTGAAGTTATTCTCTACCTTTTGATTCTTGCACACAGTATCTAAATAAGCTCTACACCAAGCTTGAGGAGGATACTTCATCAATTCTTCTGCAGCTTGCTTATCAAGTTCACCAATGGACCTCAACTGGTCCTTGAAATCTTCTTCATAAGAACTCCAGACACTCCGCCATAATAACTTCTTGAACTCTGTTGTTCTCCATTTTCTGCACCAATTTGACTCAATGTGCCTAACACAGAATCTATTATGTGAATTAGGAAGCACATTGTTCACAGCCTCAATTAATCCCTGATAAGTTTAAAGGAATTCAAATAAGTAATTTTGATTAAAAAGACAAAAGAAAAAAACAACAGAAGCTGTTTAGACATAAATATCATACCTTTTACATATCTTACATGAAGGTGATGCCTTCATCCTCCTTGAGATCTAGTGACATTTGAAGCAATTCCAAGAACCAAGTCCATGTCCTTTTTGTTTCTTTATCCACTACTGCCCAAGCTATAGGATATGTTTGGTTATTACTGTCCAGTCCAACAGCAAGTAACAATTGTCCTCTAGCTTTTCCTTTTAAAAATGTCTCATCTAAGCCAATAAATGGTCTCAAACCTAAATTAAAGCCCATCTTGAGAGCTTGAAAGCAAAAATACATTCTCAGAAACTTTTTTTTACCTTCAACAAGTGCATCCTTTGACAAGTTAATGACAATATCACTCCCTGGGTTAGTGTCCCTTAGCTCATTGACATATGCCTCAAGTTTCTTATAGTCATCTGTAAAACTACCTTCCAACTACCTTCCAACTTTTCCAAAATCAGTCTTTTAGCCCTCTTGCACTTTCCATAGCTAACATTTACATTAAACAATTATTTCAGATCTGCTCTCATCTCCTTAATCTTATACTTAAGATTTTCTTGCACCTTCTTCTTGAAGTAATTTGCTATTGTTTGATAGTTAACCCTAGTATTCTCAAATGTTTCTTCACATGTATGCTCATCTCTTAATGCCTTTATCCTAACTCCAGGAAGGTTCCATCCCCAGAAATCAGAACAACAAAAGGGCAGTCACCAACACATGTATACCTCAACCTTTTTTTTATCACTTTTATCCACCTGTAAGTCCTTTTTGTTTGCCAAGGAATAGAAATTAATGCATTTTCTAGCTTCAGGTATGTCTTTGAAGCTCATACCCTTGTATAATTCCTTATAATTTTCTAGCCCTGCCTCAATTTTAGTATTTCTTTGCTTAGCAATTTTTTGTAATCCATCAGAATCATAATCAACCTCATCATCATCAGTATAATTATCACTCTCACTCTCATATTCACTACAGTCAGTACCATAATCAGTTATTACTGGATTTGAGTCATTGTGATGAACAATATTAGGCACATTAATAAATTCTTCATACTCATCAACAACATAGAAGTGGAGTGTCTTAAATACATCAGAAATTAAACTCAGTAAATGCCTCATCCATCATCATTTTTCTACCTCATAGTAATTACCAGAAGGGCCATTTACAATTTGTTGAACACCTACATGCCCTAACTCACTGGTGTATGTTGTTTCTAAAAGCATGTAAGAAATAAGTTCAGAATCATGCCCTCTCAGATGTGAACCAACTTCTTTGAACACAAGATCTGGGGTGTTGTGATCCAATCCCCACCACAATGCAACATTATATCAACCAAAGGCATCCTTAATATTTTGGAAGGCAATTAAAAATATTAAGTAAACTGACAAAGATAATTAATAATAAAAAAAGGAACAGAAAATTAGAAGAAGAAGAATAAAACAGATAGTGACTTCGTGGACCACATACATCATACTCAGCCAGAAACATTAAAAATAATAAAGGGAACAGAAAATAAGGGACCAGAAACATTAACAATAGTAAAGGGAACAGAAAATTGGGGACTAAAAATATTAACAATAGTAAAGTCCCACTAACAATAAAATACTCGGATTCTCTGTTACTTTAAGGGAACAACATACACCATATATAGACAAAACGACAACTTAAAGCACAAATTGTAACCCAACATCCTCAGCCAGAAAAAGGCACAAAATCACACTCGGGGCCACCAATAGAAGAAGAATCCCCACAATAATGTTGACCCGTAAAAATCCTAATATAAAATAGCTTAAATAATATATGTAGACACATAACAACATAGATATTGTCGATTTGAGTTCATATCATAAACTGTAAAAGCATAAAACGATTAAAAACCAAAGAATCAACTAGACCGAAAATATTTTAAGAAAAACCACCAATGTCTTTCTTAAACAAACACGAAATGGAAGATAAACTTACCTTTTAAAGAAGAACAAGCATAAATCGGAAGCATCAATGTCTTTCTGAAGCACATACGACTTAGGGTTTCGAGTTAATTTCTTCTTCTCAAAGTTTTGCAGATCGATTTAGGTTAGAGGGAGGTGACTAAGAGGATTTAAGTTAGAGGGGCTCGGGTGGGTCGGGTTAAAAGGGTTGGGTCGGGTAGTTTTTAATTAGATATGGGGCGGATGATTTTAGACCAATAGGATATTGACACGTATATTAATTAATATACTATAAATAAACAATGGTTGAGGGGCATTTTAAATACCAAAGTAAATCGGCAGGGACTTTAATAACACAAAAATGAAACGGAAAGTAAATATAGCTTATTAATAATAGATGGGTATTTTAGGCCCTTAACCGTATATACTAATTTGACTACCATATTAACTTGCCCAAAACCCTTTAATTACAAGAATTTAAGTTATGTTTACTACTAATGTGAAAGCATTCTAGATCATCGCTTTGATTTAACAACTATAACAAGTTATCATATTAGGAGTATATTATAGTATCAAATTTGCAATGAAGAGTTACATGTTGTAAGTTAATTTAATCTTTTATATCATAAAGAATTTAAATACACTCAGTGCAATGGAATTAAACAAATAAAAGATGAGTACAAGAAAGCACATTACATTCCTCTCGTTAATTAAGGTGGTCAGTGATCATTGGTCATTTTCCTGAACATAAATACTACAAAGTGCGTACCTCAACATTTGCCAACAATTATATTACAGTACCTAAAAAGTACTGTCAGAACCGACCGTCCCGCTTTGGCGTGCACTAATGTTCAAACATTCACTCTGACAAGTGACAATTGCCTAATCCCCAAGCAAAACTGCACACCACACAAACCAAAATATAAATCAAAGGAAATACAGATATGAGCGAGCCTATATCCCAATTTTTATGTTTTTATTTTATTGAAAATTACTACCCCGACTTTGCAAAAATTAGAGATGAAAATTATTTATATTTTGGCACCAAATATATATGTCGGAAAAGATTTTAAATTTATACATGGCTATAAATTTTTCATTTCGAATAACTAACTCTTAATTTTGACCTTCTGCTACTTCAAATCAGTATTTAAAAGGCTTGGGCAATAGGCGAGGCGTTTTACATATGCCTCAGCGAGGCGTAAGCCCCATAGGTATTTAATTTTTAATATTTTATAAAATAATATAATTATAGTAAATATTTATAAATGGGTAAAATTGCATAAAAACTATTCCCACAAAAAAAACTAGTCAAAACAATCTATTATACGCTACTTACAAGCACAAGTAACTTGAGTCTAAAAGAATAATTTATTTTTTTTTGGTAACTAAACTCTTTATTTACGAGAATAAATTTTCTACATGGAAGAACCAAAAGGATGACTAACCTGCAATTTGAACTTTGAACTTGCTGCTATGAAGGAGCATGGAGTTCTCTTTGTATCAAAAAAAAAACAAATTGAATATTTCTTGTTGTTGGGAGATATTAGCAGACTAGCGGACACGATAAAGAATTGGGAAAGACCATGAATACATTTCAGTTCTTTTTTAAAACTTTTGAGTAATTACCAAGCTGACTTTTGAGAATTTGGGTATTATATGAAGGACTTATTCAACAAATTTTGTTTTAATTTGAAAAATTCTCTGGAGCTTACGCTTCACTAAAAAAACACGCCTCAAACATCCCGGCGTATGCCCTGAACATCCGGGCGTACGCCCCGAATTGCTGGGCGTATGCCTCTTGAGACCACACCATTACCTTGGAGCGTTTTTGGTGCGCCTCGCTCCAGGGCGCGCCCCAAAAACGCCTTTTAAAACATTGCTTCAAATCATAAAAATCACAGAAAATATTGTTAACATTTTGAATTTGAAAAAAGGAAAGGAAAAAAAAGCAAATAGTAATAGATTTTGTGCCGCATATTAGAATGAATATTAACTTCAAAACTTTGGCATATATATATAGATATGAAAATCCATCCCTTTCCAGAAAAAAAATCATATCATGGATTAGTGAAATATTCTGAGCCAACTGAGCTTTGATATTTTCTTTATTCTTTGGCCTTTTTATTTCATAAATTAATATTCACTCCATTCTAATTTATTTGACGTTTGACTCAGCACAAAATCTAATAAAGAAATATCTTAAAATTAGTAAGTTTAAACATTCATAATATTTGTATTGTTACTAAGACTTTTGAAAGCTTCTCTATATGAGTAAAATTGGAAGCTCATAAAAATATATTATTTTATTCAAAATAAATTAATAAAAAAATAGTCACATAAACCGAAAGAAATAAACTATAGAGTATAAATTTTTAGATGTGCTATTACCTAAAATCATACTCGAAAAGATCATTCAAAAACCGAACAAAAAAAAACGGTGCAAAAATAAATAAATCTTATGCCCATTATTAGGACGAACATTACCGCCCAAATTAGGCATGGTACATAACCAAATAAATCTGAGAATCCATTTCTTTCCTAAAGAAAATCATATCATGTTTATGGGTGAAAGTACTGTGTACCTCAATCCCAAGAGAATCATTTGGTTTTAACCTCAAATAATTATTTTTCCTAGTCTAATAATAGACCTCAAAAAGTCATTCCAATTTTCAATTACTAAGAGTAGTAATTTATTTAAAATGGAAAAGAATAAAAAAATAAAAAATTGTACCCCACATGGACTGTATATTAGTACAGGTACACTATACGTCCAAATCTTGTCTTTACTGTGTCCACTTCAGTACTAGTCTTCTCTCCCGCTTTTGCTTTACTTTCTCGTTTCTTTTTACTCACTCTCTATTTACTTCAATTCAGACAAAAAAGAGTCACTATTATACAATTTTGTGCTGACCCTTTTTAAGTAATTAACCTAAAGGAAGAAGAAGAAGTGGTAGAGATTATTATGGAGTGGGAAAAGCAGCAGCAGCCACCGCAGACGGCGGAGGAAATGGGAGGAGGAGGAGGGGGTGGTGGGATGTTTGTGAAAGTGATGACTGATGAGCAAATGGAAGTTTTGAGGAAGCAAATAGCAGTATATGCTACCATTTGTGAACAGCTTGTTGATTTGCATAAATCCATGGCTTCCCAACATGATCTTGCTGGTCCACCTTTTCTCTCTCTCTCTCTCTCTCTCTCTCTCTCCAATTATTGTCCTGTTTATATTTGGTGTCTTCATGTTTGTTTCTTTTTGATTGATATATAAGCAAAAAATGGGTTTCTTTTCACAAATTATAGTGGTTATATAATTGGACCCTTCTCTGTCATTCTCTAAAAAATAGATCAAATTTTGTATCTTTGCCCATTTTATTTTCTGGTCTTCTCTTCTCTCTTCATTTCTTCATCATCATCTTCTTCTTTTCAGTTTAGTTCTCTTGTTTTTTTTGGGTATTTTCCCTCTAATAATCGAGTTCAAAAACTTGAACCAAAAATAGAAAAGGGAATCATTTCAAAATTCTTACCTTTTCTATCTGCATAATATTTCTGGTTACTTGGTTAAAATTTTAAAATAGTCCTTTAACTTAAATGCCCCCAAAAAAATTGAGCCTCTTGGCTCATTTCTTTTGGTATAAAATTTCTTTTTATTGATTCCTTATGCTTTCAAAGTTTGAAACATCTTACCTTTTGGTATAGAATCTCTTTTGATTCATTCTTTTTATTCAGAATCTTTTTTCCAAATTTGATCCTTTAAGTTTTTTACTTCAATATTTCCTTAGTCCAATATAGTACTATAATATTTTTGAGACCTGACAACTTGTCTGAACCAAGAAAGAAAGAAATGAAAATTGATCTTCAGTGCTTAGACTTGTTATTTTAGATGCAGTGATGGTTAACAAAGTCATCCACTAAATTTGATTCACTCCTTCAGACTGACCAGGTCAATATAAACCCTGGCTCTTATGATGGAAGTCCTGAAAAAATTAGCAAATAGACTTGCCACTACCCCGAAAGCGGAAATCTTGATGCATTATAATGATCAATGATTGTATGCTGAAATCTCTGTGTATTGAATTATCAGTGATTGTATACTGACATCTCTGTGTATTGAATGATCGATGACTCTATTTAGTTGTATTTTACAGACTTCAGCATTCGTATTGTTATTCGATGAACGTAGCAACCAGAGAATAAACTCCTCCTTAGGAGTGGTTCTTCAAATTTATATTGATATTTGATTTTGATGCCGTTCCATGGCACAAGAAATTATTTGGTCCGTTCAACTTCAGAACGAATGATAGTATTCGTTGTGTCGTTGGGTTATTTGAGTGCTTTGCTTTGTGTTTCATACTAAAGGACCAAATTAGGCATGAAAATGACTGCTAAGTCTTAACTGGGGATGCAGACTCAAGAAATACCGATCACTTTAAATTGCAAGAAGCTGTTGATGATTCATTTTTCAATTAGACTTATTATCTTGATATATCGTGCAAAGCATCCATATCTTTGAATTGCTGCTTCTGCATGGCCTACTAAGAAATATATCTGTATATTCTCCCACACGTTTCTAACAACTTTCTGAATTAGAATTCATCTTTACCTGCTATCTCAGGAGTCAGGCTGGGAAATCTGTATTGCGATCCACTGGTGACATCCGCTGGCCATAAAATCACTGGCAGACAACGCTGGACTCCAACACCTATGCAACTTCAGATTCTTGAGCGCATCTTTGACCAAGGCAATGGAACTCCAAGCAAACAGAAGATCAAGGAGATAACCTCTGATTTATCTCAACATGGCCAAATTTCTGAAACAAATGTGTATAATTGGTTTCAAAACAGGCGTGCTCGATCAAAAAGGAAGCAACAGGTTGCTACAACAAACAACACTGAATCGGAGGTGGAGACAGAGGTTGAGTCACCCAATGAAAAGAAAACAAGGCCAGAGGATCTACAGTCTCCTCACATGCCAACTTCAAGGGCTGAAGATGTTGGCTATCAGAACCCTGAAGTGAGCTCTGGAATGCATTCTCTAGATCCACGAACCAGTAAACCCGAGCCTGTGTTTCCATCAGAGGGTACTTCAAAACCTGCTGGAAGTTATGGCGAAATGTCCTTCTATGGAATGTCTAATCCAAGTATGTTCCTTCTATTTCCTATAACATCATTTTGTTTTTACCAGTCTGCCACCATATGCTTTAATATTTAGATATAAACAAAGGGTGCAGCGCTGTTCAAATACTAAATATGAGTGCCATAGTTAAACTAGCTTCCAGGTTCAAATCCTCAATCAATCATCAAAGTGATAGAGACGCACTAAGTGATGTGAAATTCTGCATTAGTTAATAATAGTCAGTCTATTTTGTACTTTCTGCACTCATGTGATCCTTCACGAAGATAACAAAACATTTGGAGACGTGAACATTTTAACCTATTCCACTTAAGCCTTCTCGTGGAATTAATGCATCATATCAATAGTCACCAATTCAAGCACAGTTCATTAACTACTGGAAAAGAATGCGACAATCAAGTTTGGAGTGTTAGAGCTCCTCCAAGAATTAGAAATGAAGTACTCAAGTTTAGATTCTAGTAGGAACTCTTCGGCTATGTAGCAGTCGGATAGAAAAAATTTGATAACTAACTGTGTTAGTTAGCTATGGTTGTACAGTTTCTTTGGTGATAAATACAAATATTTAGTTACCAAAAAAGAAATTCACAGAATGCGACAATCCCTTACCCATTAACTCTTCTTTAGTACTAGAAAGCATAAAAACTTGTTGTCTATAAATTTATTCCAAACTCAGTCACCAGAAATAACAGCGAAAGAACATGGCCTAACGAAATCCAACAGTGGCAACCACCGAGATCAAATGGAAGCGGGAATGGTTATTCAGGATTCATATAGTGACCTTATGTAGCTGAACTGTAGTTCCGTTCTTTTTGTGATAGTAGATGTGATAAAAGTTTATATGCAGGAATGGACCAGCTAATGGGAAAGATGGAAGGACCGGGGAGCTATCATCCATATCTACATGCAGAAGACTACAACATGACTGGCTAACAACCAATTTGGAAACTGGATTTCAACCGTGTTTTGAGAAATTTAGATTGAAACTAGAAGCCACAAACTCTTGCCAGAGTTTCTGATCTTACCATTAGCCGCTGATCGGTGATTATATAGCACAACATTTTTGTGTATGGAAATATGTACTTATCGACTACGCTTATAGGAACTATAGTAAATAGTACTATCTGTTTAAACTAGTGAAGTACTTTCAGCTTTTCTGTGTTTGCATTACTTTGTCCCTCTTTAGCAATTCATATTATTTCCCTCTAAAAACAAGGTTGTTTTTGTTGGGCTGCTTGTAGATAGAAGTATGGTGTTGTGAATTTCTTCAGAAATGTCTTTTGTTATTCGTTTTTATTTCTCCATTTGCTTTGTAATTTTTATGTTTGAAGCGATCGTGCATGAAAAGCCTTCTTCTGAGTGAAGATTGTTTCTGCAGGATGCAGAATTATGTTCTGAAATTGTATCTTTCAAATAATTATGTGGCTTTCTCACTATTCAACCATTTATACAATTTTTTATTTTTTTAAGCACACATTATAGGAACTTTTTTCTTTAACAAAAAGAAAGTTTTTGACTTTTTGGTCCTTTCCTGATAGTCACACATTCACAGTTTCATACTCTCCTTATACAGTGTATGGCTTTAATTTAAACAAGTGTTTTGTTTTGACTTTTTGGCAGCATATCACTTTTATACCAATTTGAATTCATGTTAGATTTAAATGTCTTACTTCTTAGATTCAATTTGCACAGTATTATGGCTCAAGACAATCCATAAAATTTCCGCCATCTCAATAATTTATTTCATCATCTCATAAGAAAATCAGAGGGATTTGGAGTTCCGCTTGTATATTGCAGAAGAAATGGCATGGGATAGCCACTATTTAACATGGTTTTTTAATGCTGAGCAAAAATAACCACTACTCTATTAAATTAATACGAAAAGACATATTTACCTTTTCTTCATGAGTGCTGATTAAGTACATGATGTCCTTAACATTTACACTGCACACATGAAGTTAAGGATGCCATGCCCTTAAAATTTACACTGCACATATGAAGTTAAGGACATGATGTCCTAAAGTTTAACAACGGAATGTGCAAATACAAGACACTTTGTCCTTAATATTTACACAGCATTCATGAAGTTAAGGACACCATGTCCTTAATATTTACACAACACTCATAAAGTTAAGGACACTATGTCCTTAACATTACACTGTACATGAAGTTAAGGACACCATGTCCTTAACATTTACACTGCACATATGAAGTTAAGGGCATGAGGTCCTAAAGTTTAACAACAGAAGGTGCAAATACAAGTAAAGGACATTATGTCCTTAACATTTACACTGCACATATGAAGTTAAGAACATGATGTCCTAAAGTTTAACAACGGAAGGTGCAAATACAAAATACTTTGTCCTTAATATTTACACAGCATTCATGAAGTTAAGGACACCATATCCTTAATATTTACACATCACCCATGTCTAGTACAGGGGTATTTTTGCCCGGACGGGTAAAAATTAATTAAGCACAGCTAAAGAGTAAATAATTTTAAATAGTGACTAAAAAATAAAGACATCTTTAATTAAGGGCTAATTAAATGTGCACTTCCCCCTATATTGCAGACTCTCGCTCTTCAGACGTAAATAGAAAAACTGTATTTAAAGCGATTGGTTTGAGAAATCTCTCGACCTACGATATCCATTTATGTGTACCTAATATTTGCACTAAACTAAATAACTCAAGTGTCACAAATTAAAGTAAGTGAAATATTTTCCAACATGTCGAGAAAAAAAAACCAAGTCCCATATATCCCCGACAAATGAGCTATGCATCAACTTATAAATATTATATCAAAGAGAGAAAAATGAATATGCACACATTATCCTTTTAATAGAAATCATGAGAGTTCACATAGGAGAATTAGAGATAAATAATTACTAGTTGAATCTTTTTTCATTTGCCAAAATTTAGTGAGAAATAGCAAATACGGCATGAATTAGTACACTGGCCGGACACCATCTTTATTAAGAAAATAAAAAAGGTTCATTTCAGCCTTTAATGACATACTAAATCATAAGAACACTTTGGCATGAACCTTTGACTTTGAGTAATAATCATGCAAATTAAGAAGAAAATCCTGGATCCT